GCACCAGGTGGGGAAGGGGCCAGGTCCACAGCGAGGGGCTGGGGGGCAGGAGCGCTGGCGGGGGGCAGAGCGCGGGCCACACCTGCTGGCCAGCCACAGAGCGGCTGAGGAGGGGCTTCAGCCTGCTTCAAGGAGGGGGACCTGGGGACTGGCCACGCAGACTGTGACGCTGGCGCTGACACCCGGTGTCTGCCACCTCCCACCTGCTTCCTGGCAGCCCCTGAGGCTTGTGGGTCTGGATGGTGGAATAAGGCTCACGACGCCTAGCTCCTCTACGTCAGCCGAGACGGGGCACCCCGCCAGCCCAGTGCCCAAGGAGGGCCACCTGAATGGACGCCCCAGACCCCATGGCACCGCCTGGCGTGCCCATCGGCTACCCGTAGAGCACCCGGCAGTGCCCAGCCAGTGCCAGGACAGAGGCCGCGTCACCCAGAGGCTGGCATGTTCCCTGAGCTCGCCAACGTGTGGGCAGCCCGGGGGACAGACAGGACCCAGAATGCCCTGTGCTACCCAAGTGGCTGGGCAGGTTGATGTGGAGCAAAACTCCCACTGTTCAGGGGCGCCCTCCTGGGGCAGAGCACCTCTGGGGGCTCCCTCCTAGGACTGGGGCTCCCTCCCAGGACGGGGGCACCCTGCTGGGGGCCACCCAGGAGCAGGAAGGGTCCAACGAAGAAGCCTGCTCTGCACACTCCAGCGGGACCCTGCCTCCTGCCCTGCCCTCCTGTCTCGCAGAGTTGACAGCTCCTGCTCCACCCCTGAGCTCCCGGGGGACCTGGGGGGTGGGGGGCCACAGGGGAGGAGCAGGGTTTAGACACAGAAGGGAAGTGTGAGGGGAGGAGGTGCCAAACATGGGGTAAGGGGGGCCCAAGGCCTCAGCCGGGAAGATGGGGAGCAAACAGACGAGAGCAGCAGCGGGGTGCAGGGGTGGGGAGACCGCATAAAAGGTGGTGCTGGCACCCAGGTGCATGGCCGAGGGTGGGGCAGGGTGCAGTGGGAAGGAGCTGGGAGGAGAGACTGTCACCCGTCACCCTGGCCCTCGCTCAGCTTGCTGGAGGTCAGACACTGGGTGCTGGCCTCGCCCCACACCGTTAGATTCAGGAGACACTGCTCTGGACCCTCCCGCGACCACATGCACAGAAAGCGCCGTGCCTGGTGGCCCTGATCCCAGGCCCTGGCCCCTCCCTGGGGGCACCTGATCTTGCCTCCCCCGCCCCCTGCTGGCCCTCCTCAGCAGGTCAGAAACCCGAGTACCATCCTGGCTTGTTTTTCAAATCCATCGATTCTACCTCAAAAGTCTCTCTAAGTCCTCTGGGTGGGTCCATTACCACCAGCCACTCTCTTGCTCCCCCTTTGCCCCCCCCCAGCAGCCTGACGGACTTGGGGTGCCGACCAGGCCCCACCCTCAGTGCGGCATGAGCTCCTTGCCTCACCCCCAGCCCCGCCGCCTGGGACGTCCTGTCTGCCCACTGGGGCGAGGTGTGGAGGCCAGCCCTGGCCCTGGTCACAGGAAAGCCCGGAGAGCGACAGCCACGGTCACACGGGGCGCCCGGCCTGCGAGGACCGGGCTGCTGGGCTGCTCCAGAACCTGCTTCGCAATGGGGACAGCGGGGGCCTCCCCCGAAGAGGTCAGGGCTGCCCGCGCCTCCCGGCCAGGATCAGCACCACCTTGGAGCCCCGCCGGCCAGCGCTGCCTTGCTGGGAGGCTCAGGGGCGACCCACAGGGGCCCCAAAGCTCCAGATCATCCCCTCGGCAGCTCCGGTACAGGCCTGCACCCCCGAGCTCGCCAGGGGCCAGCCCTGAGACGTCTGCAGTCCCTACCCCTGGGGCAGGAGGTGCGCCCACGTCGCCCTGGTTCCCAGATGCCCACTTTTTTCACATCTCAGCACTGAGATGAGGACTCTGCTGACCAGTGGCACATCTCAGGCCAGCTGGCCACATCTTTCTTAGGGTTGCCCAAAATATGAGTGGGGCCCTCAGAACTGGCTGCCGCTCTGATGCCAGAGGCAGAGGAGGCAAAGGAAGACTGGCCTAACCCTGGTCTGCTTGGTAGTGGGCACGTCCAGCTGGAAGGGACCACTGGGGCCCAGTGGCCATGGTTCCCGGTGGCAGCACCAGCCTTGAGGGACTGTAAGCTGGGGCTGGAAGACCCCACACTCCATGCAGAGCCCACCCCGACCAACAGAAATGGACATGAGGGGACAGGGCTCATGGTACAGAAACAACCTGACATCAGCATTGGCCAGAGTAGCCCAGCCCTGTCCAGGGGAGCCCTGCCTGGACACGGCCCACTGGACACGGCCCGCCCGCCCACACACAGAGCGGCTGCCGAAGACTCAGGCTGAGCAGCCCAGCACGCAGACACGCAGAGAGCACCAGCTGGAAGCTGAGGGCCCTCACCGGCCCAGGTGGCATAGAGTGGACACAGAGCAGGTCAGTGTTTCGCACCCAAAGCCCTGGACACTTCCCCGGGACCCTCCATCTCAGGCAGTCAGCCCTCCTCTCTGCAGCTCCCCTGCCTCCCCCCAGCTCCTGACAGTGGTGGTCCAGGCAGGGAGATTATCGGGAGAAAGGCCTGCCTCTGCCTGGGCAGCCTGCCCCACCTCCCAATTCACCCAGCTCCCTGGGCCACCAGAGGGAGAGGCCCCTGGACCTGGGCGAGGCGCCCTGGGTCAGGACGGGGAGGCCGCGCTGGGGGCCCGGCCCACAGAGGCGAGCACACCTTGAAGCAGGCTGAAACCCGCCAGAGAGGCAGTGGCAGAGCCAGGGCCGAGTGGGAGGGGAGGGGGCAGCGCTGACCACGAGACTGGTGAGGTGCAGAGACGCATGCTGGGCCAGGAAAGCCTTTCCGAAGGGAGACAGAGTGGGCGCCCCAATTCTGCTTAAGCCTTGGAGAGAGCGCCAGCAGCTAACCAGCAGGCCCGAGGGAAACCGGAGACAGGTCCCCACGAGGCCCGGCCGCACGGCTGCCGCGCGGGAGAAGCCAGTTCTTGCCAGACGGAAAAGGGCAGGACGGCTCTGGGGGTGGCCCGCGGGCCGGCCTCCTGGTGGAGGCTTCGCTGCGGTTTGGCGGTTTTGTCACATTTCAGATTCACAGAAGGGAAGAGTCGGAAGGACCCAGCTCTTTCTGGCTGAGACTGCACGAACCCACGCCCCGTGTCTCCCGGTGGCCTCGGTGCCCTGACTCCCGGCCTACCTGTCACTGGAGCGAGCCCCGGGCCCAGCGGCCAGCGGGGGCTTTCGGAGGGGCCTGCACGGAGCTGGCTCCTGAGGTTACACCTGGCTCTCGGGCGCAGCAGGGGGGCCCAGACCCAGGGCGTCTGGGAGGGAGGGGGCCCCACGGTTCTGTCCCGCAGGCCAGCCTGTCACCTTCCTGGAACACTAATCAGAAGAAATCCTGTTTGCCCACGGCAAACTGCTTCCTTCCGAGGGGACCGTGGGGCTTTCACCCAGAGTGAGCCCCGCCACCTGGGGCCACCTCAGCCTGCAGCGCCCAGCACTGGCGTTCCCAAACCTCCCACCAGCCTAGCCCAAGGAAGCAATCTCAAACTCCAAAAAAGGTTGTTGCTAAACCAGCTTATACCTTTTTATATTGTAAACTAGTAAGCTAGCCGTTTCCTTCCACCACAGGAGGTTTCTAGAACTTTCTTTCACGGGCCATGCTTCCATTCCACGGAAACAGTGACCGTGAACGGCAGCTGCACTTGCCCGAGCGGCCTGCAGGGCGGGGCCCTGCTCCCGGGGTCTGGGCTTCCCGGGCCTCTGCTCCACCTCCTGCCCTTGGCATCTCTTATCCATCCAGGAGACAGTAACCAGCTCCCCTCTGCAAGGACATGGGGCCACGTGTCTGTCCCTCGCCCCAATGGCCTAGGAGGTCGGAAGGACAAACAGTCCTCATCCTCAGACAGACAGGCTCAGAGAGCCAGGGTTCCCCCGGCCCAGGCCAGCCCTCCTTCCCTGTCCTGTGGGACTATTCCCAAGAGACGGGGTGGCACAGGGAGTGACCCAGAGGCTCCCTCTGGTCAGGAAAACAGCAGAGGGCGGGGAAGCTGCCCGAGCTGGTGGCAGGTCTGACCCCCAGGGCCACGGGGCCTTAGGGGCGGCCTGCCCCCTCCTTTCCAAATGTCCTCTGTGGGGGCCCTGCACAAAGACTCGTCCTGGGGTTCCGGTGGCCACTCCCCGGCTCCCGGGGCCTCTCTGCAGCACAGCCCCTGTGCACGAAACTGGGCAGCACACTCCGGGGCACACTGTCCCTTCCACTGACTCTCTCCTGCTGGGCCGGGCGCCCACCCCCAGGTGACCAGGGCTCCCTCACAAGCCCTCCTCGGGAGGCCAGCCCCTCCGCCTGCCCCGGCCCAGGGGTCACACCCGGCGGCGGTCGAATTGTGCCCGCAGCAGTGCCCCGGTGCGAAAGAGCTGGTTCCTTCCAGCATGCCGTCCTTGACCTCACCAACCTTCCTACTAAACTGAACAGGGGGGGCCGGTCGTAAAACGGGTCCCGGCCGTCGCACAGCGCGTGCTCCGGAAAGACGTCGTCCTCCAGGTCCTCCTCCTCCCCCACGCTCTGCTCCTCGGCAGGCTCGGTGGCGTCGGAGTCGGGGCTCGAGGAGGTGGGGGAGGGGGTGAGAGCAGCCATGCGTGCGCTCATGCATGTGTTCAGAAGAGGGTAGCTGTCGCAGCCGGAGACGGCTGAGCTGAGGTTAGTGCGACAAGACAGAGAGAGGTTAACGCCGGCTTCCCGCAGGGCGGGCGGGGCGGGGGCACCGAACACACAGACCACCAGGAGCGCTGCCCTCCAAGGCCAGAGAACTGAGCCCCCTCCCCTCCGCCCCCCGTCCCAGGTTTAGAAGAAGTATGTGTGGTCAGTGAAGGCTCCAGAAGGTTCTGGAGGCACCAGCGGTGTGATCCTGGCCCCGAGTGGCTGAGATCTGTGAGGACCCCGTGAGCTCGGCCATGTGGAGGCCTCAGACCACGTCCCGTCCCGCTGGGTAAGGGGCTGGGTGCAGACCCCAGACCAGGAGACCAGCGAAAGCAGGCAATGAACTCTGAGGCTCTGGGTGACATGGCCCTGTGTCCCCAACTCACGTGAGGTGACACAGAAAGTCTGACTAAGCCTCGCACAGTCACACACATGGACACGTGCGACCTGGTGGCTTTACTGCACAGTGGGTGCGGTGGCAATGACGGGAGCCCCCTGTTGTCCCTTAAATAACGGGGCCTCTGGTGTGGGGGGGGCAGGAGCCAGGGAACCTCGGAGCAGGAAGGACAAGGGCAGAGGTCGAGATAGGAACGGGCACCTTGCTGGCCGCTCATCATGTGGGGGCCAGGGACCACTGGGGGTTCTGCCTGGGAGGAGGCCCCCTCCTGCCCCACTGCCCTCGCTCTCTGCCCAGGGAGGGAGGCAGGCGCCCACCTGCCCACCAACCGGAACCAAGGGAACCGGTCGTAGAAGGGGTCTCCGCCGGTCACCACGTTGTCACAGTCCTCGATGACGCTGGAGGGCACCTCAGCCGCCCGGTCGTACATCTCCCGCATCAGGTCCAGACGCTGCCTGCGGGTGTAAGATGAGTGTGCGCCCATGGCACAGCTGCCCTGGCCCGCGGCTCGGCCCGCTCCCGGCCGCCGCATCCTGCTCGGGGCCGTCCGCGCCTTAAGCTGGTTTGCTGGCAGACCCTCGTGGTCCTCGATGTCGGTCTGCCGAGAGCAGGGACTGCCAGTCAAACCTGCACGGCCATCGCTGACTGCGGCCAGCTCCGGCCACGGGACGACAATCTGATTTAAGCAGGAAGGGCTTGGAATGGGCGGTAGGGCAGGAACCCCGTGGGGGGCGGGGGAGGGGAGAGAAGCCCCCAGAGCCACAAGCGGGGCTCGGGGTGGGAACTGGCATCGCAGAGGCCGGGAGGCTCGGGAATGAAGGGCAAAGGTGTGGAAATGACGTTTTAGAAAGTAGCCCAGAAAAACCAACAAGTCGAGGGAAAAAGGAAGCGCAAGCGAGTGTCCGCTCAGGGCTCGGCCGCCCCATGAACGGCACGGAGGCCGCTGCTCGGCCTGGCAGAGGCCAGACCGGGGCCGGGGAGGGCAGGTCTGCAGGAACGCGGACGGGTGCTGGCTGCCCGGCGAGTGTGGGGGAGGAGCCAGAGGAGGCGTGTGTGTCCGAGGCGTGAGTGGGGCTGCAGTTGTGAGCGTGCAGGTGTGCACCTGTATCAGCTGCATTTCCACTCTCTGGGGTTTACAACGTTGGGACATCTTTGGGGGCCTTGCTGGCTAGGGACAGACGCCCCTCCCAGGGCCAATTCCTAGAGACAGAAGCCTCTCGCGGGCATGTGTCTCACACACCAGCACCCAGCTGCCCCCTTGGCTGGCTCACACACCCAGTCAGTGCCCTCTGCCCTCCACGACCCCAGGGGCTGGGTGCCGGGCAGCCCTGTGCCCCAAAGCCTTTCCTAGTTGTCCATCCCGCCCTGCCCGGCCCGGGGAAATCCTCCGCAGAGGCCGCGGCCTCTCCTCGTCTCCTCTGCGTCCCGGCCCTGTGTGCAGGCCTTCCTGTCTTCCGGAGGACCACGAGTGACACTAAACTTTTCTTCAATGACAGTGACATGTCGCGTCTCGCTCAGTCACCTTTATAAATTGAAGGCCGGGCACATGTCAGAGTGAGGGCGTGAGGACCACGGAGGTGGACCCACAAGAAAGACACCTCTCAGAGACAGCGCGACTCCCCCTGGCCTCCCAGCCGCCCCGGGTCAGGCCCGCCCCCTGCCTCGCGGCTCCTCTGAGGCCCCAGCCCACCCCCAAGGCCCTGCGTGCCCACCAGCCCCCACCTTCCTGCAGCCCCCGTCAGCCTCATCCGCCCACTAGCCGCCCCCACCGTGCTGGTGGCGCGAGGATACGGGTTCTGGAAGAGGCCAGATCCCATCCGCTTTCCTCTTAGGTTTTTGAGAGACTGAAACAGGAGACAGAGCCGCATGGACATCGCATGCTGTGAAGCCCACGCCGCCGCCCACCTCGGCCGCCCGCCGCACCTGAGCTTCTCCAGCGTCCAGTAGTGGGTGGCCCCGTTCTTCTGGTCCTGGACCTCCACGGCCACGATGGTGCGGGGGAAGGGGCGTGTCTCTCGGTCTTTGGCGGCCTCTGGAGGCAGCAGGTCCGGGGGCAGTGGGGAGTAGAGTGTGTCCGTGAGGAGGACAAACTGGAACTGGACCTGTGACAGGCAGGAGACGACCACCGTCAGCCCCTCGGTGGGAGCCGGGTCCTCAAGAGCGCTTCCTTCCCACCTCCTGCGATGGCTGCAGCGGCTGGAGCTACGCCTGCCCAGTGGCCCGCCCGCCGAGGCAGAGGGCGCGTGTCCACCTTGGTCAGGCCCCGGGCCCCCTCTCCATCGCCCGCCCATGGCCAGGGCCACCTCCCCCACCCCCCAGGAGGCAGAGGGGCCCAGCGCCACGTCTAGCTGTGCGCAGGACCGGTGAACCCTGTCTGAGGCAGGCGGGCGTTGGGTGGGCAGCGGGCAGAGCCCACCTTCTTCTTCAGCTCTACGCTGATGGCGTTGGCCTCTTTGAGGAAGATGGCGTTGCCCCAGAGCAGGTCCCGCAGAGACGTGAACTGGTACCACTTCCACTTCCGGAAGGCCCATAGCGCCAGCTCACACTCCCGCTCCGTCCACTGGACTGTGGGGAGAGGCCACGCGGTCACACGCCAGTACCCCCACACTCTGGGCTCGGGCTGGGGGCTCTGTGTGTGCACTATCTCCTGCACACTCGGAAAGGGAGCCGGCAGGAAGACCTGACACAGAAAGCCGCGGGACGTGGACGCCTCTGTGTGCCAAGGGCTGCGTGAACGCCCTGAGAGTCAGGCTGAAGCTCAGTGAGGGCTGACAGGGGACAGCAGCAAAATGACAGCCACACCGCTGTGCGGAGGCAGAGTGGGGCCCTCCACACCGTCCCCAGGAAGGGCTCGGCCCCTCCCCACTCGCCCTTCCTCCCAGAGCCCCCCTCCTATGGAGCTTGAAGGATTCTCCTTGGACTGATGAGTCCAAACAAGGGGAGACCAAGGTCATGTCGGCACAAAGGTGCTGACCAGAGGCCAAGCTAGATGTGACTCCGTGGCCAGCCCACAACGGCACGGGGTCGGCCACTTAAGCCAACATTAGGAAAGAAAGTCTCAAGGTGGGGAGCAGAGTGACCTCGTCCTGGGGAAGCACCAGCCCCGCACTAGCAAGGGGTGAGTGGACACGGGACGCCTGCCTGCGGGCCCTGCTCACGCCCTGCTCCCCACGGTCCAGGCTGCTCTCACCTGTGTGCACACGCGTGTGCCTGTGGGGCGCTCCTGGTGCCGCACAGCCCCCCCGAATCCCACCTCCTGGGGATAAGGATTCCTCTCCCCAAGGATAGGCCGGGGACCCCATGGCAAAAGTGCTGACCATCTGAGCTCCAGGGAGCAGCCTGGGAGCTGTGTCCTCTCAGGGACCCCTGCCAGCCCGAGGCCCAGGCCCGGCCCTCGCTCTGCGGGGTGCTCACCTTCGTCCTCGGGCTCCTCTTCCTCCTCGTTCGCCTCTGGGCAGTACCTGGAGCCCATCTGTTTCTGCAGGGCCTCCAGCTTGCTCTCGTAGTCCTGGCATGGGGGGCAGAGCTGTGGCTTCAGCGGGGGGCCAGGCCCCTCCACGGTCCCCCTGCCCGGGCCTGTGGTGCTGTGGCCCCGGGCCCACCCTGTGTGCCTGGACGGGGGCCCCACCACAGCCACGGCTCGGGGCAGCTGACGGTAGGGCTGAGAAAGTGGGGACTCTGGTTTCCCCATCCAGCCCTGCTGTGCAGCCTATGGGGACATGGGGCCTGGGGGCCTGGGGCCTGAGGCCACCCTCACCAGTCTCTGCTGCTCTAATAGGTAGGTGGCCTCCTCTCGTTCCCGGCGGTACTGGTCCTCCAGCTCCTGGAGTCTGCAAGGTGGGGCGGGTGATGCGGTGGGGTTGGTGACAGGATGGGGTGGGCGCATGAGAGGTGGGCGTGCTGCGGGGTAGGCGTGGGGTAGGGTGGGCGTGTGCGTGGCGGGTGCGTGGGGGGCAG